GTATCTTGTCATTTTGGTGTGATTACTACCTTGAATGTGTCTTTGATTCTTTCTAGTGTGTGTGTTACCTTTAATTTTTGTTGTGCTAGAAGTTTTTTCAATTGACTAGTTTGCCATGTTTTGAACAGGATATTGTCATGTATGTAAATTCTCCTGGAGGATCAGTAACAGCCGGTAATGGCTCTTGAAGTAGCCGTGTTGTGTCTTTTGTTATATACATGCATGCATACATATATATACAGGGTAAAAATGATGTGATTTCATTTTCTCTTTGTAGGTATGGCTATATTTGATACAATGAGACATATCCGACCTGATGTGTCCACAGTTTGTGTTGGGCTAGCAGCTAGGTAATGGTTCATCTTTCTTTCGGATGGGATCACCTTAATTCTGACTTGATCTAAGTATATGTCAAGATCACAACCTGAGGGCTTCTTTTGCTATGGCCTTGAAATTTATTCGTACCAGCTATTATCAGAGATGCACCATGGTGTTTGAATTCATGATGTTTTCAACAATTCTTGTCCCTGTTGATTTATGTTCTGGTTCTTAGATACATTATATTCCCAGTTCTTCCAAAGATACGGTCTTTCTTCTTAGGGGTAAAGCAATCGGAAATGGCAATGAGATAAAAGCCAAAATACTTTTTTTGTGTATGAATAGTTCCTAGAATTCAAACTCCCCATTAATATTGATAATTTCTCTCTTAGGGGTGATCCATACTTGACCATATGCTTGTTACTTTTGGTTTTTAGAGATGTTTTGCCCCTTTAATACTTAATATAATAACATCTGTGGCCTTTTCTTGAGCAGTATGGGGGCTTTTCTCCTTAGCGCTGGGACTAAAGGTAATTATTCCTCTATCTTGTAATCACTGCATACTTTTGTCCCCTTTCATTGTTTTATGGTAGATCTCATTGTCATTTTATCTCCAAGGAAGATGCGTTCTTCTAATCCCTCATCCCTTTTCTTCCTTTCGCTTGAAGGGAAGAGATACAGCTTGCCTAATTCAAGGATAATGATTCATCAACCGCTTGGTGGAGCTCAAGGTGGCCAAACAGACATAGATATTCAGGTATAGATCCTGTTTGTTATTCCATTTATTTCTGACGTAAACTGCTTGTTTGCTTTTAAATTTCTGAATTTATGTGTTCCAGTTAGTTTATTCTTCTGGCTTTTTTTAAGACTCAATTTTGTGGTGATTGAGGTTGATGGGTTTGCACAGGGTAAACGTGCAAGTTGTCAATATAGTTAATATTCTGAATTTGGCCCCTAGTATGTCTGTGTCTTTCTCTGTGTTTCTGCGTGCGTGTGTGTGTAAAGTCAGTTCCTACAACCTGGATTTAGAACTGATTTTTTTTTTTTGACACCTGTGACATATGGTATTTCATACTTCATTTTAATCCGAATCCTTGAGTTGGTCCTGTGGTTAAGTAAGAGGTGCTAAAATGTTCAATAGTAGTTCAGGTTGTCTGTTGCATGTTAAGCTTAAGTATTTAATTCCAGGCTTCCTGATAATTTGCTGAAATTGGACGAGACAGGTTCCACAATTGATTCTTGTGTTGATTTCGTTCCACAAGTATCATAAGCCTTTCGGAGAAAACTGATTCTTTTGCCATAATCTTTCAGGCAAATGAAATGCTGCATCATAAGGCAAACCTGAATGGTTATCTGTCGTATCACACTGGCCAAAGTCTAGAAAAGATTAACCAGGACACAGACAGGGATTTCTTCATGAGTGCAAAAGAAGCCAAAGAATATGGACTTATCGATGGTGTCATAATGAATCCTCTCAAAGCTCTTCAGCCATTAGCTGCTGCTGCAGAGGGCCTAGATCAGGCTACCGTCTGAATTTTGTTTTGCACCTTAATGCGGACAAATGTCTTAGTGTAAAAACTAGAACAATTATTTCGGCTGTTCGTTGCATCTGCATTGCTTAATTTATATCACCGTTCATAGCTTTCCAACTGTATAATAAGGTGGTGAAAATTTTATTTCCCGTTTTGCTTTATGCGGAGAGACGCTGGAGCTATAGATTCACAGCAGGCGTTGTCCTTCATGCATTTTAATTTTGCTATGATGATTGGTCGTATATTAAGTGATTTTTGGTTTCTTGGCAAACAGTTTTAAGATGAATTTGTTATATGGTGTTCAAAAATGTCAAGAGTTCCTAGTGGTTGTGCAAAATATAGTGAACAGAGATTATAGAAATCACGGTTAGGTAATTAAAAATACCAATGTGTATTATTAAGATTCTATATTTAGAATTATATTTACCTTTTAACTAGTTTTTATATTATAAATTGAAAAGAGTATTAATAAGTTAAATCCATGTTTTCATCACAATTTCGTGAAATTAAAAATGATGAAGTGAAGACCCGACTCCCAGTAATAGTGATTAGATAAATCTCTTGTCATAATTTAGCAAGGTAGAAGCGTGGCAGAATACAAACGATGATTGCCCCCACAAATGGACCGGAACAGTGAGAACGTGAGGCTGTAATTATTTTTACTATTTTTGTTATTCACTTGAATGGGTAATAGAAGTATACTTTTCATCTTTAATTTTCACACATCAAGTCTCGAAGTGTACTTTTCATCCTTAATTTTTACACATCAAGTAACCTGTTAAAGTTGAACAAAGCTCAACCAGTTTAAGTCTTAATTAAATCTAGAGTTAAGGTGAATCTAACATTCCAAACTATTTTTTTGGATGCATTTAGTACTCTCAAGTATTTTTTAGTGTATCCAATATTTTAAAGTATTTTTTAGGTGCATCTAACATCATGAAATATTTTTTTTTATCTTAGTAATGGGTACACCAAAAATACTTCGGGTGCTAGATATATCCGAGAAAATATTTCGAAACGCTGGATGTACCTTAACCCTTAGATCTAGCCCTTTTTTTTGTTATTTTAGAAAACTTAGTTTTTAGAGATTAAAAAAAAAAAAAAAAAGAACAAGAAACAAACTCTTTCGTTTTGGAAATCGGGTTGTGTTTTTCTAATCGAAATTCCTCACACGCACACCATAAAATATATTATATTGTGATGCCAAACAACAAAATAGCACAAGGTCTACCATAACCAAGCCTCATAGAGAAATTAAGAACTGGACTGGCTAAAATAGTAAAATGAGAGCTCTCGGGAGAAGACCATAACCCATATTTAAATATTGTTTCTCCAGACCAAGTTCTAAGAAATTAAGACATAAATGATCAAGGACTAAATCAGATTCTGCTATCCCACATCACGAGTCCTTCAAGTTCGATAAAGAAACTGCGACTTGCCACACAAAGTGCTGCACTAAAGACATGAATCATGATCGTGGAAGACCATTGCCTTTGCGAATCCCCCGTCACAAGGACATCTTGGTGCATTGGAATCTCCCAGCTTTTGAATGCGCTTTAAACCACTATACCAGCACACTTGATACAAGTCTCATTTCTAGTCCTTTATTGTGCCACACCCTATTAAAAAAAAGGTTGGAATAGTATATATTCGTTCTAAATTGTACGATTTATGTATTTGATATATTCGTTATTCATTGAATAATGCCAACAAAACAAAACAAAACAAAAAACACCGAATTGGTTCAGGAAATGAACTACCCCAATTTCATCATACCAGATAACGGGCCCATTTGAATTACTGGTAAAAAAAATCATTTATTTTCAATTTGACCTTTAGAAAAGTGAGATTGAGTAAAAATTAGAGTAGATAGTTTGATTTATGTTTGGATTCACTTTTATAAAAGTTAGTTTATAAAATAAAAAAATTGTTTGAATTATGACTAAATAAGTAATTTTAGTTTTCCGATTGACCAAAATGAATGAGTTTTATTAAATAATAAAAAAGATTAAAAATAGGAATTTACAAAATATAATAATATGAAAAAGTTATATTTAATTAATAAAGCATATTTAAATTAGAAATAAAATTTTTTGAATCACATAATATTACGTAATTAATTAGATGACATATTCTATATAATTTATGTAAATATAGAATGAAAAATAATATTAAAAATTAAAAATATTATAACAACTGTTAAAAATTATTTTAGAATATTAAAATAAATAACTAAAAACTGACTGGAAATTACAAAAAATATATAAAGAGAAGTATAAGAACAACAAAGATATAAGGGTAAAAATATCTTTTAATTTTAAAAAGTTACTTTTGTATAAGTAATAAATAAGTTTTAGATGTTTTTATAATCCTACTTAAAAAAATAATTTTTGACCTATAAATCATATTGAAAAGGATTTATAACAAACAGTTTTTAAATTTATAAATTGACTTATCATATTTATAATTATTCCCTCCCTCCCAAAAAAAAAACGTCACGCCAGACAGACTGAACATCACCTTGCAACTTTCAGCCACCCCCCAGAGGAAAAGGGAAAGCTTTTTCTATCTCATTAACACGTGAATCTCATTCTATCTTTTAATGGACAAAAGTTTATGGTATAAAAAACCGTTATAGGTTGAAAGAATATAAACACAACCCTTAAAAATATCGATGATTATCATTATTAGTTTTATTACTTTAAGGTAAGCGCCTTCGTCTTTTTTTTTTTTACCAGCAGTAAGCACCTTCGTCTTGACACGGTAGAAATTAAATCGTTTAATAAAAATGTTAACTTTCTAAGAATCTTTTCATGTCAGTTCTACACTATTAGGGGGTTTTTGATAACCTGTAAATCATGATTTCAGAAGTATTTTTTTACAAAACAAGACAAATTTTTTATAATTTTATTTCATAAACTGTAAAAGCACTTCTAAAACTATAATTTAGTTTAAATCCAAACAACCCTGAAGCTCGTTGGATCCCATTTTCCCCTGAATTAAATTAAACGACAAAACTACCCTTGTACCGCTTCCTTCCATCTCCTTGTCTCTGACCTGAGCTGCAGTTTCTTTCTTTCCCTGTCAGTGCCAAATTTAATCACCCGCCATATTTGCCAACCACCCTTCCCCGTCGACGACAATATGAGATGTACACAAAACAGAAAATTAATATAAATACTCGTAATTGAGGACTTAGCTCATGTGGGTATGGCGTATATATGAACATTCTGGTAATATTCTTCTAGACAGCAAGCACTAACCAAAGGCTTGAATCATGACGGGGCAACCGGAATCCTTTCATCGGAAAAATTGTTCCTCATCAACTTCAACAAAGACGGAGACATGGGTAGCTCTTCAAGCTCGTCGAAGAAGTCAAGTTCCTCCGATTTGAGCGTCGAGAGGTTCTTGTGCTGAGAATAACCGAGGGGCTCTTCCTCCAAGAGAAGATCCATCCTCTCTTGCGTTTTCTCTGGGTTCAATTTGAAAAGATCCTCTCGGTCAATAATAATGTCTTCAGGACAGCCTATCGGCGATTGCAGGTAATGAAAATTTTCTTCATTTGCACCTTGATCGCTAGCTGTTGCAAGTTGAAGATCTTTCTTCTCTTCCTCGTGGTCTTGGTCGTCTTTCGCCTTTGAAGTAGCAGGTGAGAGATCTTCAGTAGCTTGGGTTTTCGATTCTTTGCGGGGTAATTCTGGAGCTGGATGATTATGTGAAGAAGTGTAGGTGACAATGAGCATTGAAGCATCTGTTCTGCACCTTTCTACTTGCTTTTTGGCCGAACAACCTTTGGATGTGCTGCACCTGTAATAGCCTCTGCGGCAGACAGACCGACAGACAATGAAGTCTATTTGTATGAGCAGCCTCACAGTAAAGAAATCACAAGGCATGCATTAAATTAAATTTCACTTTATATCTGGGACGTGGGAAGAATGTAAACCTTGGATAAGGGGATCCTTTAATAGGCTTTTGTCCATATTTCCTCCAAGACCATGAGTCCGATGGTAGCCCTTCATTCTTCACTTTACTAACATTTTCTCCAACTTTCACCCTCACAACTGTTTTCTGAACCATTTTCCTGCAACATGCACACCTCAGAACTTGCTCAGCAAACAGTTAAACCAAATATCCCAAATTTGGAAATGACAATACCTAAAATTCTGGCTTTTCATTTCATTTTCTCCCAACCAGAAAAAAGTCCAACTCACCTTTTTTTGGATTCTTGAATTTCTGGTGTGGGCGCTTGAGATGCTTTTGACTCAAGTTTAGGCGAGATAGTGCCCTCCATAGCAGCTCACAGTGCCTTTCTTTGTTACTTTATTTTCGCTGAAAGCTTGAAAGATATGGTGCTCTGATGGAGGCAAGGTTAGATCATTGATTAGAGAGAGGGGGAGAGAGAAAAGAAGGGCAGAGAAGGGATGATGACAAAGGCCTCGAGTTGCTGTCTTTCTTTCTTTTCACTCATTTAATTTAATGTAAAGCTAGGAGCAACTAAGCACATATCAATGTGAGCCCACCTTGCAATATAATAAACACTTAACAACCCCCGCACCTGTTGAGCTCAGCGTGGTCCTGCTCCGTTACTACGCTGAATTCTTTTCTGCCACGTGTGAGTCATGGATATCCTTGCCCAGTGCGTCTTGCGACAACCACTCCAACATACTACCGTCTGCGAGGAAACAAGCAATTGGGAACTTCCAGATTGCAAGTACAGTTGAATTGCTTTGCCTTTTGGATTACTGTGGAGTGAATGACCATGTCTTGAGCCACGTTGGGGATTGCTCGTTTATGCTTATCCTACAAAAATAAAAACTACACATTGGCAGCATATTAGAAGAGATCACTGTTTTAAAAGGGTTCTATTAGCCTCTCTTCATTTGAACTGAGCCACCAGTCATTGGGCGTGTCTATATATGCTCACCAGAATCGGTGGTGCTAACTCAGCAAAGTGTGATTCGAAATTGAAGCTCGTAGGAACGAAGGTTGACCCCGTATATGCAATACCCGAAAGTATCGGACTTCTCCATATTCCCCGGGGCATCTCATGTTATGCAGAGCATTTACCAGCGCTGTCTACGTCATAAAAAAAATGTCTCTGAGTTGGTAGTTGTGATTATTATAAGCTCATCAATATGATTGGACCTCGTACTTCATTTTTGTTCGTGGGCATGCATGTTAAGGGAATTGCAAGTCTTCGTCGCCGCTAAAAACAAAAACCAGAATCCCAAGCATAGCAGGGTAGTTGGATCATCGATGGGCTTTTTGGCTTGACTTTGAATGAAGCCCAAAACAGCCTGGGCTGAACCCTGGAGCACAGTTTACGGGCCCAAGAAGACACCCGTGAAAGTAACCACATTTTTTTGGAAAAAATAACCCAAAAAAAATGAAAATTACTAAATATTAAATAAAAAATATTAACAAAAATTTATTGTTATTTATAAATTTAGTATTACAAACACCAAATAAAATATTACTACCAAATATAATTTGAGATTTAGTAATTTTCAACATGTTTTGTCATTTTTTTAAAATGAAAAGCTGGATGACATTACTCAAACACAATAAAAGATTATAGACTAAATTCTCTCATTACTCTCTGCCTCTGGGCATAGGAGTAGAAATTAATCAAGAATACAAAAACTGTTAACAATGTAAGATAATCTAGCTATGAAGTGAGCTGTACGATTTTCTTCCCCGCTAACATGATGACTCTGCACTACCTAATATGAACCAAAAAAGGGCTTGTTCCGAAGATATATATAGGGTGACGCTTTTTCGTTCCGAAAATAACAATAAAGAAAAAAGACAATGAACAAGGACCCGGCACCCTGGGTTTCTCCGTGACGTGATCTCTTTGACAGCTGAGAATTACCAACTCCACACTCACTGCCCCGCGCCCTTTCTTTTCACTCCCCTTTCTCCGCTGTTCATTTCCTTGCACCTTTTTTTGTTTTAAACACAACGATCCTATTTTCCTCAGGGCAAAATAAAAAAGTTAAAACAGTTTCTATTCTGTGGCTTGTCTCCTACCCTTTTTCCCCCCCTCTTTTTCAAGGCTTGTCTCCTACTAAAAAGAAAAAACCATGCAGCTTGATATTTTTGAGCCATATGGCATCCATCTCCCTCCACAGATGCCGAGCCCCCCCTTTTTTTCACTAGACCACGTATTTTGTTTGAATTCCGCTTTTAAAAACAAGACATGTTTATAGAACACGTAACAATTCAAAAAAACACCGAGTAATTTTGCAGGTGATCCAATACATGCATTTGCAAGGACCAAAATATCAAAAAAAAAAAATGATCAAATACCGTCCAACAAACTTGGGCGGATTGGGTAAAGTCCCACTGCTGGTTAGATTATATACCACTTGCCGGGAAGCAAAAACGTGTGTTTACTAGTTCCCGTTCTTAGAATTCATTACTTGTGTGGATATTGACTTTCACCCAAATATTATAGACTTTATAGCTTTACGGGTCAAACATATATCCTTCTTTAAATAAATAAAAAAAATCTCTTTCCACTCTACAACGTTCAGTTAATTACTTGATTGAAATTTGAACCTACCAGCATAGAAAAAAAATTAAAAAAAATAATAGCAGTGGTGATGATAATTAATTAGAACCTACCAGCACAGCAAAGGAAGAAATCAAAACAAAAATAATAAAAGTGGTAATGATAATTAATAAGGTATAAATAAACCTCCGTTTTCAAGGTAAAATTAGAAAATGGAAGAAAAACTAAACACTTTGAAATTTATGGCAGAAATTTTGCAGTGTAATTATTGACATGACTTCACCGCGGCTAATCTTTTCATATGAAAGAGCTTAGATAACCATACTAAATATTACTACTGATTACTAGTTACAAGATAACTAATTGACTCCCAGTAAGTAAGATGTCTTATTAGATTATGGGTCACGCAGTTATCTGAAATATCTTGCAAGCTAATTATCCACTAGTTGAGTATAACAGATGTAATAACTCATCACTTGTTTTGCAAGGTAGGGTCTGGGAAAAAAAACTGGAAGAAGAAAAAAGAAGAGTAAAAAAGAAAACCTGAGGGCTCAACGCCGAATGTTAGCTGGTCAAGTCAACCAGGATGCACGCGCGCACACACCAATGTTGGATTGTTCCTGTCGTGCTATTGCATGTAATACGACTTTCGTATAAACACTTGTTTGACACGATGATATATCAGAGCTGTGCTTCAGCACCTGACGAGGTCCCAATTTGCAATTCTATAATTAGTTACTCTGACTTGGTTTGTTATTACCGTACTCACCGAAGGCCAGGTCTACGTACGTGTTTGTTTTGTTACTGAGATTATCTGTTTATAGATTTTAATTCGGAAAAAGGAACTAATTTGTGTATCATTAATCCGTTCGATTCCCCCCCGGAGAGAAAACTACTGATAACAAGAAATCAGTTTCGGTACTTATCAATAAACACCTTAAACTTATCAACTCTAAACTATTCATCCGTTCGATTCCTCTCGTATGAGGAGAATTACTGATAATGAGCAACTAGTTTCAGTACTCATCAATGAGCACCTTAAACTTATCAGATCTGGATTATTCATATCTCATTTGGATGATTAGCACTTGATTTCTTTTTTATTTTTATTTTTCAAAATAATTATTTTAATATGGATAAAATCTAAATGAAGATAATCTCTTAACTATTATTTTTTTTAAAATAGTTTTTTATTTAAAATAATTAATTAAAAATTTCAAATCTGGACGGTTCAAATTAGATATAGACAGTTTAGATTTGATGAGTTTAGAGTACCCATTAAAATAATGAGCAAGAAAACTGGTTTCCTGGTAACAAACGCTGAGGAACAATGGAATAGCTAATAATAATCCCCGTCTTCTGTTGTCCTGGGCAGGGGTACTTGATTCATTAATTTAATTATTTAATCAATTAATAATTGATTCGTGGAAATATACATACCGCGTATGGTCATGTCCTATAAACAAAGGACGTGGTAACCACTTTAAGTTGCTCGTCCAGCACCAAGTTGAGAGGTCACATATATAGTTTGGTACACAGAGACCTCAAGTTTATGTTCAACTTTCCGTGGCTTGCAAATAAAGGGGTCTTCGAGTTCGACTCAGATTATCATTGCTTCAGCTCACATATGGGGAGACAAAAATGTCAGCACAGAGCTAAAGAGCTCTTGAAAAGCTATGCCTCATCTCCTACAGAAATCTTCTACCTCCTCACCCTCACGCTTCTCAGCCTCCTCCTCCCGCTCTCGTTTCTTCTACTGGCCAGACTCTCCGGCGCCCAATACCATCTTCAATCCCTCATCACTTGGTACCGTTCGCCAAACCCGCTTCCCTATTTCTTATATCTCGCTCTCCATGTCAACCCTGCCATTCTCTACGTTCTCGTCTCATTTGTCAGCGTGGCCACTCTGATCCGCGGCTTGACCGGAAAAATCACCCTTTTCAGCGACTCATCTACCTCCGTTGACCGGCCTCGTCTCTTCACCGCGTGGGTTCTCCTCTGCACTTTCCAGGTCTGCGTTGGTCTGGGCATTGAGGGGAGCATAGCGGCGGGACTTTATGACTCTGATTCGAGTTTTGGGGTGGAGCGGAGTTTACTGAGCAGAGTGATTTTTCTCATGGGATTGCACGAAACGATGCAGCTTTGGAGCAGAGGGGTGGTGAAGCCGGTTGTGGATGACACGGTGTTCGGCGGGGTTGACAGAAAGGAAAGATGGACGGAGAGGGTGATCATGGCGGCCAGCCTGGGTGGTTTGTGGTGGTGGAGGTTGAGGGAAGATGTGGAGACGTTGGTGGTTATGGCGGAAGCAAAGAAAGAGCATTGGATGGAAGTGGGAATGGCGGATTTCGTGGGGTGGTGGTTGTATTATCTGACCGTCACGATTGGGATGGTGAGGGTGGTGAAGGCTCTCATGTGGATGGCTTCCCTTTGTCTGCGCGGAACAAGCCCGTCGGAGATTGCTCCGGTTGAATCCCGCGACAACGATGACAAGGTGTAAATTAATTTGATCCATTCTAAAATTTTATTTCTTTTCTCAAATGAATTCTTTATCTGCCCGTCCACATTTGACATCCTTCGGACGTTATAATATTGAAATTCGCTTTTGCAAATGCAATAAATTTGCATACAGTCGTGGCTCTTAGGGCCTCAGGGGTGAGCATTCGATTTTTCGGTTCGATTATCGGTGATAACCGAATTAACCGAATAACCGAATAGAGTAAATTTCAAACACCGAACCGAAACCGAATTAACCGAAAATTTCGGTTCGGTTAACCGATTAACCGAAATATATAAATATGAAAAATAATTTTAAATTAAAAATAATAATAAAACACAATTATAACCATTAATTAATAAATATTTCATCATTCAATGTGATTTATTATAATAATATTTATTATAATAATATTTGTTGAATATAAATATATTTAAAAAGTTCACATATACCCACATATATATTTATTATAATAATATTTATTAAATATAAATATATAATATATTTATTTCGGTTATTCGGTTATAACCGAATTTTTTTCTACTAACCGAACCGAACACCGAAACCGAATTGTTTAAAAAATAAAAACCGAATATATAACTGAACCGAAAAACCGAAATTAAATTCGGTCCGATTCGGTTTTCGGTTACGGTTCGGTTTTACTCACCCTTAGTGGCTCTCACCGGGAAGGTTCAAAGGCACAGTTTTTTTTTT